AGTCCACACAAAGGAAGAAGCAAGTTAAAGTAGGGGGGTCTTTTGCTCAACCCATTGCGGGGGTGAAAGCAAGGACCCTAACTTAAGTTAGCTAATAAACTTTCCTATTGCTTTTTGCATTGTGTGTTGGCAAATTCCTCGCCCAAACAACTCCTTCATAACCTGGGCACAACACCTCTTCTTACTTTTCAGTTTCTGTAAGTGGTATTATTTTTCTATCTATCAGCTAGGTCAAAAAGCTCAAAATTGACCTCTATTCTCATTCAATTCATTCTCCATCTACTAAATAACTAGATCTACAAATTAATTTGCGATCTAGTTTGCCGGATACCTCTGTGGGCCAGCTCTCCAGACCAATCTGTACATATCCTACCCCCACCTACAACTTAACACATACTAAATAAACTTTACTCCTCATTGTTGGGTGGGTGGTGTAGAGGAAAATAGGTTTGATCAGGTAATTATGACAAGTTTTAATGTAGGCAATGACTTGATAGACTGTTGTTGTTGTTGTTGTGTGCTGTTGAGTCAAACCCGACTCATAGCGACCCCTCCTTGGGTTTCCGAGGCAGTATCACTATGGAAGTAGGATTGCCCAACCTTCCTTCCGAGGAGTGGCTGGTGGGTTTGAACCGCCAGCCGTCTGGTTAGCAGGCAAGTAAAAATAGACTCCATATCCTAATATAGGAAGAGAGATGGAGAGTAACAGACTTTTATAAAACACATTTTGAAGTAAAAGTCAGCAGGTTAGTCTGATATTGTACACAGGGTGTGAATAAAGAAGAATCTAAGTATACTCAAATATTTTAAATTTAAGTAACTGAAAATGGTGGTGCTATTGAGACACAAGATGAGAAGAAGAATGGGTTTAGAAGAATTATTATACACATATAATTTTGTAACTTGTGTTCTATTTTAAAATCATTTAATATTATAATATACATAAACTGTCATTTCACCATGTAATTGGGTAGTATATAATAACTTCTATTTCTGGCTGAAGTTTAGATTTTAATTAAAACTTTGCTAGAAATATAATATAGAACTCAGAATATACCACTACGAGCATGCCTTACTTCATTATGAATAAGTACAGACATGAAAACCCAAGGATAGGAGATCTGACCTGGAGAGTCTGTTGGGAGAGATCGGCATTTCCTGATGCAAGTGCCCCGAAAGCATCAATAAGGCCATTGTTCTGAGCTTTATCAGAAGCATAGTAATGACTTCCTCCTAAAATGTAGACACAATAGCAAAGTTACCTTCTAGAAATAAGTACTTACCAGATTTAGTGATCAATAAGGTAACATAATAAGGAAATAAAATGTGAATGAAATCAGTCCTAATGTTATTAAAATAGCCTGAAATCAGATGTAAAGGTTAACTCTCAAAAGTTAATTTAAAAAAGTTATAAATAGGGACTTCCAGTAAGATGGAGGAATAGACAGACAAATGACACAAACCCTCTTCAACAAAGAGAAGAAAAACCAATTGACAGAGATACAGAAGATAATCCTGGAACCCTGAGCTTTGAAAGGAATTATACAGAAGTGGATTAGACACCAAGTACTGGAAAACCTGAATGAAAACAGTGAGTACAGAGATGGTCGGAGCTGTGGACTGTCAGCTACTCTGACAAGACCAACAGCCTGAATATTTCCAAGTGTGTTGGGACCTGAGAATGACCTAAAGATCAGCCCCAGTCACCAAGGGCTGCAGGGACAACTGCTCTGGTGGCCGGTCACTAGGAAGGGAAACAGCAAGGAGGGAGACAACCTGAGCTGTGGATTTTCTGCTGTCCGGAGGGTGCAGCCATTTTGATTGTTTACACGTGGCAGCCATTTTAGATATTTAAAGTGACCAAGGGCGCAGCCATTTTGAATGTTTACAAGCGGTGGCCATTTTGGATATTTAAAGTGATTGAGGGCACAGCCATTTTGAACATTAACAAGTGGCAAACATTTTGGATTTTAAAGTGATAGCATTCTCATTTGGATACCAGGGACCTAAGAATAGGCTCTGTTTGCCAGGGTTAGCAAGGACATACAAGAGGCTGACAAAGGAAAGGAGGAGATAGGTGGTGGGTGTATAAGTGCTGTCAACTGGTGAATAGAGGAGCACAGCAAAGTACCCTGCCTGTATAGATAAAATATAAACAAAATTAAGAAAACAAAAATTGTGGGCAAGTCGCTCCAACATATATTCACCAATTAACTATAAACACAAAAATATCACAATGCCTCGGAGACAACACAGCATCACAGTCCACACAAAGGAAGAAGCAAGTTAAAGTAGGAGAAACAAGGGACCAGGATACAGACCCAAAACACATCCCTGAGGAAGAAGCAGCATTGGAACTCCCTGATAAGGAATTCAAAAGAATTATATTTAGGTATCTTCAAA